GGGGTAAAAATGGTAAACAGTAGGGACCAAATCAGGGATTTTTTTAGTTCAGGGACCAAATCGGAGGTCCATACAATAATTCAGGGACCAAAAAGGGGTTTTAACCCAGTTTTTATCATCACATGCATGGCAGTGACCGTAGTTGCATAATTGGTTCTTGACTCCAATATGAAGTCAACAACAACCATTTTTAAGGTAAGTTTTTATTTTTTTTTTAATATTAAATGGGAGAAAATTTGAATTTATCTTTTTAAGAATAAATATAAGAAAATGATTTGTTATCAAGACTTAATAACAATAAAATCTTATAACAAGATATGATGTAGATTTTGATTTTATTACAAGATATGATGTAGATTTTATTATTTCTTCTGTTCCATTTTAGTACTTAATTTGATTTTTTTATTTTATTTTTTTATTTTTTAGATATAAATTTTAGATTAAAATTTAACATATTATATAAATGATAATTGAAATTTTTTTTTATCAAAAAAAAATACTCAACAAAAACTTCATATAAAAAAAATTTAATTATTATTTATTTTAAATATTAAATTCTTAATCTAAAATTTATATTTAAAAATTAAAAAAATTAAATTAAATCTATTAAAAAGAAATGAGATGATAACTCTTTTTTCTCAATTGATAAATTTTTACCTATTATGTCGTTGTCACTGCTACAAAACTTGTAGTGGTGGTAAACAGAGGTCATGAGGCATCAAAGGTATGTGGTATGACAGAGGTCATAAGGTATCAGAGGTATGTGCCATGACATATGTGCCATGACAGAGGTCATGAGGCATCAGAGGTATGTGGGTTGACAGAGGTTATGAGGTATCAGAGGTACGTAGGCAGTTAGAGGTCATGAGATGAAGCATGTTGCCAGTCCGAAGTCTCATACTTCGTAGCTGCCCAAGATGCACGACCTCAGACACCAGGAGCGGCCCCCGACATCCAGCTACCTCGATTCGATTGAAGGACGACGAGCTCAGTCGGACTCGAGTTCGTCCCCTCTGCTCTTGCTCCGCCGTAGTTCTGTACACATGCAAACCCCCCATGAGAAGTACCTACGATGTTTGACACGCGTTGCCCGGGTTTCTCGAAAGGATCAACACGTGGACATCCTCTGAAGGCCTATAAATACCCCAGGGTTCACCTCTGAAAGGTATCGGAAATCAACCTCGAACTCAGCTTTTACTCTTGCTCCATAACTGGTAGCTCTGACTATTGCTGACTTAAGCATCGGAGTGTCTACCCCGAGTACCAACCTCGGGGCCTTGTAGGATAGTCGAAGTGAAGACTCAAGATCCGAAGTATCCCCCAGTTCTATCTCCTAGTCCTTTACAACTACATTGGCACCGTCTGTGGGAATCCGAGCTAAAAGCCTTTGCTACTAGCAGTTACGATGGCTAACGCGCGCTCAACGCACCACAGAAGTCCTAAAC